AGATGAATTTACGGGTTGCTTCGGCGGGGACACCGGAGTGGACATTCGGGGAGGACTCGGCAAAATTGGTTGTTTCGTCGTTGGAGACACAGAATTCCGTGGGTATGAAGGATGGTTATTCGTCGGTTGTCTCGGGGTCGATGGAAAAGTCCGTTTCGGCGACGTATTCAACTTGACAAACGGGGCAGGAGGCAATTTGGGAGTGGGCAAAAGAACCCGTCTGGGAGACGTTGGCTGTGACGCTTGAGGACCCGACGGAGACGTCACATTTCTGAAACACAAAATATTGATTTGAAAAAATACTTGAAATATGGTACAGTATTCGCATTCCTTTCAAGCAATTGAACGCAAGATAAAATCACACCAAAATGATGCGAAAATGCAAATTCTTATTGATTTCCCGTCTTTAAAAGCCTGATCGATTTGGTTCAAAATGTATTCTTTATCCCTCTCTTCGATTGAACATCTTTAACCGAAGAAGTGAGACAAATTTATCAAAACAAGTCAGCCCAGAATTTTTTTCGAGATTATTTACATCGAATGTATTTACATTTTAGCAAAATAATAAAATTTAGAGGCGAAATAATTCATTACTAACCTTTGGGGTTCCGGGGTCTGATTGCGAGTAACATAACCATCTCTGCACAAGGCCTCAACGACAGATCTTCCATCCTTCGATTCCAATTCCACCATCCAGTATCCTTGCAATTTCTTCACGAACTTTCCCCGAAATTTTTCAACATCTGGGAAGAGTTGTAGGAAATATTCGTTCGGATTCGCTGGAGGGCGTTTCAGCGTGGGGAAAATTCCGTCGAGACTCGCTGGAATTGCCTGGACACCGGGAAAAGTAAATAGAATGAATATACGGTTCGTCTCACATGAAACGTGTCACACACTATAATAAAGAAAATCACGTCCAATACGAATAACTTCTCTGAATTGTTTCATTTTCAAGCGTTGGATAATTCTGTAGACATTTCTACAGAGAAATCTCAGAAAAAGATACTGTACAACAACACTTCGTCAAATCATAAGAATTCCTCATTTTGAAAATTCTCAATCGTGTTGGTCCATAGCATAGTCGCATAATTTATTTTCTGCGCAATAGACTCGATATTCCAACCAGTTGGCTTCGGTATTACCTAGGACAAAGACTATTATGCTCCCTTACCTTGCACTAGCAGGAACTTTTTATAGTTTTAACTTATAGACATTTTTTCCACCTGAGGTTGCATTAAAAATGTTGTGTGTTTTCGAGAAGATGTACACTTCATCGTGTTAAGCATCGGTTTTCTTCGATTCTGAGTAATTCTGTGTTTATTTTATAATTCCTGTCAAAAATATATTTAAATATGAATAGTTAGAATTTATGAAGAAAATATTCCAAGTTCAAAACTCAGATATACTCAAAATATGTATCAAGGAAATAGTCACTGAGTCTGGAACAGATTACCTTCATTCTAAAGGGCTTCGGAATTACTCCCTTAGAGGATAATTTTTTTTCATGGCTGGAACCGGTGGAAAATTGGGTCGAGGTCAAAATTCATTTTACGACGACTCGCTATAATTGCAATTAAAAAAAAAGATCGCAAATTCCGCACCTGCATCGGGAAATTGCGAAACTGCTCGGGCAAAATCCGCAGCTCCTGACACGGCATCTTGCTCACGTTCCCATAGTCAAAAAAGAAGACCAACACCTCAGCTGGCCCGTCCATCTGCACAACTTCCGCACGATACCACAACATGTCCTCTGGATACTTGGCCATCACGACATCCCCAACTGACACCTGGGACAGGGCGTTGTTGGCACCACTGAGGTGTTGCAACTGGTCACCCAGTCGCACCAGGGCCTCCGCAAATTGCGACAATTGCAAATACAGTCGACGCGGAGTGCTAAACCACGAGACAATGACTTCGTGTTCAGAGCCAACTTCAATCATGGTTTTGGCATGACGAATAGATGTTGTGGCAGACGACGAGGGAAACGGCGGAGAAGCTTCGCCTGACTGAGGAGGATCCGATGACGTGATCCTGCAACGAATAAATATTTTTTTTCGTTCATAAATCACGACAAAAATTTCATTTCCCTCGAATGCCGGAAATTTCATTAAAACAGAACGAATCGGGATCAAAAAGGAACATACGCCAGGTTTTCCATCTTCACGGGATTCAGGAATTCCCACAGGTCCCAGTTGTCGACCCACATTTGCAAAATCCCGGCTTTCCCGTCGCGAAATCCCGAGGCAAACTGACACTGGATCGTTTTGGCATTCGTCAAAGCAGCGTTGAAGCGATCCGGGAAATCCGGCAGGTGAAGCAAATAATTCCACTCGCTCGGCACTCGCAAAGTGCATTCCATCGCGGCTTTCGGATATTTCATCAACTGCGGCGGAAGTGGCTTGAGGTATTGTATGTCCATCCATTTGGTTTTTCCGTAGTCAACCATGTGAACCAAAGCCTGGAGAAATCAACGGTTGAAATACTTCTCAGATCATCAAATAATAACCGAAAATCTTCAAACGAATTCTATTTTCATATAATCGAAGACTCGAATTTGACATTTTTAAAGTCTGAGTCGACCTTCTCGAAGTGTCGAGAGAAAATGTGAAAAATTTCTACGAAGAGGTTAAANGTCGAGAGAAAATGTGAAAAATTTCTACGAAGAGGTTAAAATCCTTGAAACACAGAGTTTTTAGTTCTGATTTTCTATGAAATACTGCGAATTTCATCGCAATTTCTAGAGAAACGCGTTCAACTGCCAAGAGTCAATAAATTTCACCGGAGTCTTTCCCAAACCCAGTGAAAATAGAATTCGAGTTTTCCAACGTACGCCTTCCATCGAAAATATTCAAGAAACGTAAGAATTTCCACATTTAAAATTTCCAACCAAAAGATTGTTTCGCACCAAATATGCTGGAAAAGTCCGTCCAACATTCAACAGAAAAATCATAAATAGTCTATAGAGAGAACTTTTTCAAATAACTCGACATCGCATCAACATTTCGCTAACAAACTACAACTTGAATCCTGAACTTGAAACTTGCGTTTTCAAGAAATGTTTTTTACCAAAATTTCTGTACAATAATTTTCCACAAAGACGCTTTATCCAAGCCATAAATTTTCTCCACATCTCACAATTCAAGTTTAAAAATGGCGTTGGTCCAAATTACAATACTTTCCAACAAAGATTCCCGACAAAGGTCCCAATAAAATTCGTCACACATTCCAAACAACAACAAAAAAGCAAAGATGTTTTGCGTTGAAACAAAACCAAACCTGCTCGTGGGCAACTGAAATGTCTTGAATCTCCACACGCGTGTACCGTTCAGAGACCGTGCAAAAACACAGAGCACATTTCTGCTGAGTCCAGTAACCAATTTCCTTGATGTCAAACAACACCTTCCCACCTCCCGTCTCCAAGGACACGAACCGCTCAATTTCTTCCACACTAGGATACACCAGTGTGCGCAAAAACAACTTCGTCGGAGTCACTACGGTCGTCGGGCCCGCCAATTTCACTTCGCAAACTTGACCAGGGATCTGCTTCTCGGCGAATCCACTCATTGTTGATTTATTTCTTCTTCGTGTTCTTCCGACGACTTCGATGTCTTTATCCTTGAAGCGTGGAAAACGTCCCTGGGAAAAAATGAAATAAAAATGAGATCATGCAAAAAGACCACAAAATGAAGATCTGTAAGATTCCGCCAGAAATCGTGTTGTGACACGGAATACTTTGGTACGGGTGCTCAAACTACTTGAAGCTCGCTTGAACTTCCCATTTTTATTATTATTTTTTTCGGGTCGTGCCGGAGAACGAACCGAGTTAATGCACTCGATAATAATGATAGTACAATCTTTCACTGTCTAGTACAGGACATAGATTCCAGAGCTGCGATCATAAATATAAAATATCCATGAAAAATCGCCCGTCACGTTTCATTGCTTCAAAATGCAACTTACATTCACTGTATAAAGCTTGAAGAATTTAAAAACTTCCACGAGACCTTAAGCCGATAAATTGGATTAGTCTAGAATCTTTAGATTCTTTCAGGATCACAAAAAAAAAACTTGAACTGAGCAACAAATAAATGATTCGAGAGAGTTCGAATTTCTTCCGCTCAAGAGTTCAACGTTTCATGTTCAGGGATTTATTTTAATTTATATCCCGAAAACGCAAGTTTTTCCGAGTTGAGATCAAGTCAAGCTTTCGATAAGATAATAATCTAAAATCTGAAAAATGTATGAAGCAACCAACTACGGAAAATTCTCCTCAACTCGCATATGCACTGAGTGTAAACTAGACTGACATCGTCACGAGGTTATTCATAGAGACACTAAGGAAAAAGACAAAGGGAAAAGATGAAAGGGTAAAAATACAATTTTTCTGTAAAAGGGCTGAACATACGCAGGCGGGTTGAAAAGTTTCAGTATCTTAAACTTAAGGGTACGCAAGCTCCTGCGTTGGAATTGAAGTTCTGTGACACCCTATGTTTAGTTATTAAATTTTTTACAAAACAATTAACCGTTTCATGTTCTTTCGGGCCTGTACGCTTGTTAAGCTGAACGCCTGTGAACTACTTACCTTTTTTAAACGGAAGAAATCCGGAGAAAGTCAAGCAACGGACACTTCAACAAAATTTCTAGACAAAAATGGAAAAAAGCATTCTACAAATTTTTGAAATCTAGAACAAATTTAAGCTTTCTATATTCACAAAAATTAATAAATATTTCAAGTATAAGTTCAACAGTTAATTCATGATCCAAAACAGGTTAATCGTGCGTTTCTTTTAGTATTTCTTTCCGTCATCTGAGTACAGGTATATGAAAATTTGTGCTTTTGCTTTCTGGGCTCTTTTCTGAGCCAAAAGATCAGATTATGTGAGGTTTTCTTCTGCACTTATTTTCTGTATCTTCAAGTTGAGAAATCATTTTTTTTACATTTTTTTGGGGACTTTTTCTTCATTTGTTGATTAACAACAGGTCAAAGTAAATACTCTGCGTATAATCCCATTGAAGTCCAAGACCAAAATAGCCCCGACATGCGGACATTTCGACTTCCGCAAACTTCGATTTTTCAAAAAATCTGACCACACATCGGGAAAAGTGATTTCTTTTTTTTTTAATACCATCGTAGACGAAATCACTGCACAAATAACGTGATACAGCTGAAACAAATCATTTGACATTGACTCCCAAGTTATCAAACATAACTTCGCCGGGAAATAAAATTTCGCACGCAAAAAAAAATCCAACTCATGATTTTAATTTGTTCTTAAAATTCGCGATAAAACTTCAAAACTCAACTAGACCTCAAAAATTAGAAGATTTTTTTTTCTATTTCACTTTTTTCTTTTCTTTTTTCGACAGGCGTCGCTTTGAAGACATCAACATTCCTGAGCATGGCGCCGAAAAATCGAGAAGCCCAGGAAACCCAACACGGACGACACGAAAACCTCTACAGCATTCCAAACCTGAAAGCTCAAGATCCCAGAAACATTTTCAGTCCAAAAGAAACACAGACCCACCCGGGTCTTGACAACATGAACCCCCACGGTGACTTCACAAGGCGGATGTCCCCAAAAACCCCGAAAAACACGGGAGAGGGGGGGAGTTTCAAAAAGTCAAGTATTATTCGACGTCATGGGCTTTTATAATCTGGATTAAAAAAAATATATATATATTTGCTTCAGACACGATATATATAAAATAAGATATCGATGCAAATAAGAGTCGAGTATTTTTTGGCGTTTCACATTCGCGGGTAAAATTGCATGATTGCTTTTGACCAACAATATAAAAAATTTTCCAATCAACAAATCACAAACCATTCTGAGTTAAAAATGAAAAGTTGCGACCTGTAATGAATCGGGATAAAATAAAAGTGCATTTCATATTCGCAGGCTTTATCCTTAGTAATTAAAAAAAAAAGTATAACCTGCTTTCAGGAAATACCAAAATAAAATACACTATTTTTTGAAGGCGTCTCCGAAGAAAGTTGGCATCAGGTCGCATCTATTTTCATTCTTTTGAATAATCCCTCTTCACAGGTTGTCCCGAAACTAAATGGTGAAGTATATAATGTGTTATGCAAAATTAACAAACTCAAGAATCCGAATTCTTGGAAAACTTGTCCTCATACATCTTCGTGAGAAACCTGGAGGAACTCCGGTTTGCACGCCTATTTCTTGAAACCTCCAAGGTTTACGTCATTGCCAAATTTCTGGAAAAAACCAAAACTGTTATTTATCCTTGAAGGATATTTTTCCTTTTTTTTTCACTCTCAACCTTTTTTCGCCATTTCATTACAAGCTCTTGTACGCGACACTTGAGCAAATTTGCGAGATTTTTTTGTGCGTTTCTGAATTTTGAATTACAACAACTTTATAATAGGGTGAAATTTCACCCCAGTCGTAGCCCGACCAAATTCTTAAGTTTTATTTATTCAAGCCCTTTTATTTATTCTTAAAACATTCCTAACACCGATCATAGAAAACAAAATTACAATACCGTTAACTTCTAGGATGATTAATTTCAATTCAAAGAGACGAAGATGAAACGTAATCATTCATTAAAAAAATATGGGTATTTATAGATTTCAGGGCTTCTCAGAATTTGTGAAACTTCATTGTTCATCATAGAAAGATGAAATTCCACGTTTTATATAAAAAAAATGTATGCTTATCTTCGGAAAAATCAATGGAATTCCAAAAGAAAATTTATTCATTAATGTCCCAAATACTGTACATTGTTAGTCGACTCAGCTTTTTGTTCGCAAAAAAAATATATATAGACTTTTCACACATGACTATAGTTATTCGTGTGCGCCAAAAATGGAGTCTCGAGAAGTGGTCCGTTCTAAAGGATCTCATTACCCGAAAACAACCCTGTACAAAAACACACACCTTACTTATTATAACTAATCAACAAAAGGAACCCGTTTGAATGCAGGTTTTTTTTTATTCGATATTGGGGCTGAAATTGAAGACGATGCCACGCTTTGTCCTACCGGTTTTGAGGATTTCTTCGGGACTGGTTCCCAGTCTCAGGCTCTGGTTTTTATGGGAAGAGGAATTATTTTAAAAATTACAGTATTATTGAGTTACATGTTTTGTTCTAAAATATTTTTGAACAATGGAAAAGTCTTCAGATCTTCGGCAAATATCTACGAAATTTGGGTTTCATTCTTCCCCAGAGTTGAGAGAAATAAAAAGTCTCCGATAATTTGAAACCATAAATAAAAGGAAAAATATTCATTCATCTAGTTTTCATTTTCTTCATCATGAAAAAAAAATATAGTTGATACCACTCGGCAATATTTGAAATATGACAGGTTAATCTCCAAGAAATTCATCCTGTTTTGTTCATCATCTTATGACTACAGAATCACCCGAAATGTTAAAAGACAATTAAATTTCCTTCTTTGTCCTACGACGATTTTCAGATATTGGAAATTTCATGCTGAATATGGAACACCCGATTTTACTGACTGGACTTTCGAAAAAATCGGAAGATGCACTAAAAACCATATGCGACAAAAAAAAAACATTTTATTTTTTGGTGTTGTTTAAATTCTGTTTCTTCAATGCAACGTTCATGTTAGTATAGTTTGTTCTGACCTGTAAAGTTTGTGCTGAGTTTTTACTGTGCTACAGAGGGTGCTCATGGAAGGTTTATTTACGGAAGGGTAAAAATAACTTAGGTGCTTGGGTCACTGGGTTTAAGGTCCGGGTTAGATAATCGGTAAAGATCAAAAGATATAGTAGACATTATAGGTCGTAAACGCACGCAAATGGGTTCCAGAGAGCCGTCAGATGAATCCCATTTCAAGAGTCGATGCTTCCCTTAGTTCATTCTAAACGTGTTCAACAAGAAACACGCCTTCGGGGACACACGCAAAAAATTTTATCACGCAACTAAAACTCAATCCGATTTTAGACGAACACAATTCCTTCAATCCATCATCATAAATTCCAAATTACAATATCCTTCACGATCTTTATTTTTTCCTCCGCCATATCAACGAATAATGATCTTTGTTTATGAACGCAGAATTTTCGTTTTTTTTTTAAAGAAAGCAGATTTTTTTTCACGTGATGTCAAATTTACTCGAATATGAGACGCCTTCAAATAAAAGACAAAAACCAGATCCTCAATTCATTTTTGTACGTGCCTAAAATGTGGCAATAAAAAAGCCTGCGGATATCAGACACACTTTCATTAAATTCAATACCTTAAGGATTGCGATTTTTGCACTTTGAAAAAAAAAATGGCAGTGAAGGTTGTTTAACATAAATTTTACCCAGCTTCGTATAAAACACGCGTTGGTGAGAAACGATTATGCTTTTCAACTGCAAATGTAAAATGTCATTAAATATTTTGCTCTACTCGTGTAAGACCTGAATTTTCACGTTGTTTGGTCCAGTAGCGAAAATAAGTCTATCGACTCAAAAACTTGACATTAAAAAAAGTCCATTTGTTATTTTAATTTACTATAATCGCATGGAACAATTAGGCGCATAGAAAAATTGGATCCACTCCCTTTGTGAAGTTCAACAATATTTATGTGAAAATTTTGTTCAACACGGATTTCGAAAAAAAAATCGAAGCTGATGATGAAAAAAAAAAGTTCAACGATT